ATTTTTTTGCATCTCTAAAGATATATTGCCTCATTCCAGTAGAGTGTAAATATAGTAGGCCATTGACTTTCAGTTGATGTTAATGCGCCGATCATTCCTTTCCTCGAAAGGGGGCCTAGCTAGTACACATAGAACGGCGTATGTGTTGTAGTCTATAAGAGCGGGATTAGACGCTTCTTTCTCGCACCCAAAAGGCCCGAGTTCGTTTACCGGGCTGGCCCTCACAGACAAGGTTAACGTTTACCACCAGCTAAATGATCTAAATTATGTCGATCAGGGCGTAAAAATATCTTTATAGATTGTTTAGGTGAGTTAATGCATCGAGACCTCGTTCCCTTTTATCTCAGTTTGATAATTGTATGGGGGTTTGAGTTTTTGCAACCTTGAATACTACCTCAAGAAAAAAAATGTCATTAAAAATTTTCTTTTTCGTCTAGGAAATATTCAACAGACCATTTGTGGATCTATTGTTTGCCAACATACATGCAAAAATAAAAACCTGTTTCCATCGAAAAAAATTGATGTATTAGATTGTATAAGACCTGTCAACAAAATCTGGCTGATGTCTCCATGGCAGCGAAACTTTTGTTTCTACGATTTGATTGCAGATTTGAAAACACTTCACCATGTTTGTTTTATCTGTGACATTTGGTAAAATCTGATCCCCAAATAAGCAAGATAGCACCCCCCCCCCCTAGGTCCCCTCCTTGATACATGTAGTCTGAATATTTGATACTTACCTCATTCAATGGTTTCAGCATTCAATGGTTTGATAGTAGTTCAATCATTTAATTGTTTGGTAATTTGATTGTTTGATAGCGCATTGTTTGATGATTTGCTTAAAAATTTGATAGTATCTTTGGTTGGTCACAGTTTACATATATTTGATAGTTTGGTTGGTCACAGTTTACATATATTTGATAGTTTGGTTGGTCACAGTTTACATATATTTGATAGTTTGGTTGATCACAGTTTACATATATTTGATAGTTTGTTTGGTTGGTCACAGTTTACATATATTTGATAGTTTGTTTGGTTGGTCACAGTTTACATATTGCATGTACATGTATATACAATGTATATATATGTATAAATTTCTCTCTCTCTCTCCCTTTCTCTCTCTCTCTCTCTCTCTCTCTCTCTCTCTCTCTCTCTCTCTCTCCGGGGACTCTCGTGGTCTAGAAGTGCGGTGTTAGCCTTTCATTCAACAGGTCCAGGATTCGAAATCTGAAGGCAACCGAAAATGTTTAATATCTCTAGTCACGTTCTGTCCCCCCACCCCCCTTTCACTTCCTCTGGGCTATTGAATCCTCCTACTGCTACTCCTGGCACCTTCTTACTGCTCTCTTTCAGCTACACCCTTGATCTTAGGTTATGTAAGATCTAACACCTACCCTTCTCGGAAAATCGGGCTAAAAAGTCTCGTGAGGTCCTGTGTGCACATTTCGCATGTTAAAGATTCCTTGGTGGTCGTAAAATTGACTAGAATATGTTTCGTCCGCCACCCCTGAAAGAATTCAAAATTAAATCTTACCAAAATCATCGAAAATGCTTGATTAATGTGAGAAAAAAACAAACCGACCGGTGTCCCGCGCACTTATATTATTTCTTTAATAAACTTACGCAGTTGAGAGTGATGTTAAACTCTTACCAAACTGTTTTCTCTCTCTCTCTCTCTCTCTCTCTCTCTCTCTCTCTCTCTCTCTCTCTCTCTCTCTCTCTCTCTCTCTCTCTCTCTCTGCTCCCCACCCCCTTAAAAAACCAAACGGTTTTTATATTATAATGATTGACTGTGTAACTGTATAACACGCCCACCTCTCTAAAACAGCCACTGTTCTTCTTGCAATGTCAGGCCGTCTTAGACAAAATTTCGACAGTGTATATCGAGCAGCTCTCTTCAGCCTGCTGGATGTGGTCTCCCTTGTTTCCCGTTGTATCCGCACACTCCTTGACATCTCATACAAAGACCACGTTTCAAATGCTGAGGTACTGAATAGAATCACCTACGCTGTGGGGCAGCATGAAGATCTACTGACCACAGTGAAGAGACGAAAATTAAAATGGTGTGGGCATGTCACAAGATCCACAGCACTTGCCGAAACAAACCTACAAGGAAATGTACAAGGAAAGAGAAAGAGAGGAAGACAGGGAAGGAGATGGGAAGACAACATTACAGAGTGGACAGGAAAGACAATGGGTGACAATCTGAGGAAAGCAGAGGACAAAAATAGATGGCGAGAGCTGGTTTTCAGAGGCAGTGGTGCCCCCACGGTTGCCCCAACCACGGGATAGAAGAAGAA